ACTACAAAAATTTAGCACTGACTACTGATAATCATTCTATTATAATTATATGTGGCTATAAAATAGATGATGAATTAAATACAAAATTTAATAATACTTTATTTTCTTATTATTGATGTGAAGCTCATATACTTTACCTTTGCTATATAATATAGTTTTCAAATATATAATATAGTAGTTGAAAAGTTCATAATTTCATGAAAAAAATTGCAAGTCTAAATTATTAACAGATCTACATCAGATTGAAACATAAAATATTTCATATTAAAGTTCATAAATTGATATTGATATGCATTAGAATTCTACTTAACTAATATTAAAAAATTTCAAAAAATTAAAGTACAAGCTAATATGTTTATTGTGTAATAATCAAATATATTTAATAATATACAAATAACAGTATAAAAATAAGAAATTCTGATTAATATATCATTTAATCCTTTATAATAAAATAAAAAAGATAAGAGAAATTACAACAATAAGAAATTAGAAAATAATCAATTAAATGGAAGGTCATGAAGGAAAAATAATTAGTCAGAGATCACATAATAATAAATAAGTAAATAATTAAAATAATATAATATAATACTAATCATCTGATATGACAGTTCACTGGTCAAAATCAAAAAAATCAGACATGCGAAAATCAGCCTAAAATCAGCCTAAATTTGGCAAATTATCAAAAATCAGCCTAGCTGATCAGCATACATCAGAAATCAGTCAAGAATTAGCCAAAATTTGATTTATATTATTTATAACTGATTAATGATCAATTGAAACGATTGTATTGTTTATTAAGTATGATAGGTATTATCATTTCTTAGAAATGATAGTATTATTATACCTAAGATACGATAGTTTATCATTCTTAAAAAATGATGTATTTATTGTATCTTAGGTATGATAATTTTATCATTCTTAAGATACGATAGTATTATCATTTCTTAGATATGACGATTTTATCATTTTTAAGAAACAATAGTATTATCATTTCTTAAGGATGATGGTTTTATCATTCCTAAAGTACAATAGTATTATCATTCCTAAGATACGATATATTTATCATTCCTTAGAGATAATTGTTTTATCATTCCTTAGAGACGATGGTATTATTATACCTAAGGAATGATAGTTTTATCATTCCAAAAGTATGATGTATTTATCGTTCCTAAGGAATGATTTTTTTCATACCTAAAGAATGATAGTATTATTATTTCTTAGATATGACAATTTATCATACTCAAGATATGATAGTATTATCATTCTTAAGGAATGATGCATTTATCATTCCTTAGGTATAACAATTTTAAAGTATGATAAAATCATCATACTTAAGGAATGATAGTATTATCGTACCTTAGAGATGATTGTTTTATCATTTCTTAAGGATGATGATATTATCATATTTAAGGAATGATAATTTTATCATTCCTAAAATACAATACATATATTATTTTTAAGAAACGATTGTTTTATCATACCTAAAAAATGATGGTATTTTATTCCTTAGGTATGACGATTTTATCATTCTTAAGGTACGATGGTATTATCATTCCTTAGAGATGATAGTTTTATCATTTCTAAAGTACAATGATATTATCATTCCTTAGGGATAATAGTTTTATCATTTCTTAAGGACGATGGTATTATCGTTTCAATAAATTGAACTTTTAGATTAAACTGATTTGCTAAAATAATATTGATTTAATATACTATTTGAGTTTATGTCTGATATATAGGAATATTTATATAAATAAGTTTAATTTTTAACTTTTTAAAAAATAATTTCAATCATTTTCAAATTTTCTCATTTTACATTCTACCAAAATTCTGAAAAAAAATCATCTCCAAAATAAAAGATTTTAAGTTGAATTTTAGTCAATTTTTCTGATTTTTTTTACTCTTTATAATAGAAACATGCTTTTAACCATCAAAATCAGATGAAACTTAAGTTGAATTTTTGTGATTTGTTTTACTTTTATAATAGAAATATATCTTTAACTATGAATTAGATGAAAATTAAGTTGAATTTTAGTCAATTTTTTTGATTTTTTTTTTACTTTTATAATAGAAATATGTCTCCAACCATCAAAATTAGATGAAACTTAAGTTGAATTTTTATGATTTTTCTGATTTTTTATTCTTTTTTTTCAAAAATAGCAATATTACTATAATGAATATTTAGGATGATTTAAGGGAATTTTAAAAGAAAAATGAGTTATATTTTTATTATTTTACATAATTTACTTATATTTTTTAAATAGAAATTAATCAGTGAGTTTTGGTAATATTTATATTATGTTTTTGCGAATTATATTGGGTTTTTATTATTAATAAAATTATAATATTTAATAAATTTAATAAATATAATATATTGATTTTATATGCTTATTTGACTAAATTGATACTAAATTGAGACCAATTTTAGACTGATTTATGGTTATTTAAATTTTGAATTGATGCTGAATAATGCTATATTGAGGTCAATTTTAGGCTAATTTATTTTATTTAGTTCTGAATTAATGCCGAATGATGCTGAATTAAGGTCAATTTTAGGCTGATTTATGGTTAAATTTAAGTTCTGAATGGCTATGTCTGATTGGAGTTGATCAGCATCTATCGACGTCTGAATTATTGCTGAATTGAGGCTAATTTTAGGCTAATTTATAGTTGAATTTAAGTTCTGAATTGATGCCTAATGGTCATGTCCGATTTGAATCAATCAGTGTCTATCGGTACCTGTTTGTGCTGATTGGAAAATCAGCCATAAATAGTATTAAAATCAGCTTAAAATCAGCCATCTAATTTTTAGCCAATTTAGACTATTTTGACTAATATAACATATTAGTATTCAAAGGTTAAACTTAATGACTGTAAGTATTTTTTAATAGATTACTTTTAGAATTAATTTTAAAATATCATAAATTAATAATATGTAATTTAAACTTATAAACATTATAGTTTTGAATATCTTATTACTTTAGAAATTAAGATTCTAGAGCTATTAGAAGCTTTTTTAATATAATAAAAAAATTTGATATAGTTTTCAAGTTTGGAGAGCTATTTAAAACTATTTAAAGTAAATATAGAAATTAAGATTTTAAAATTATTATAAGCTATTCTAATATAATAAAAAAATTTGTTATAATTTTTAGATTTAAAGAACTTTTAAAATCAATTTCTAAATAAATATAGAAATTAAGATTCTAAAGTTATTAAAAGCTATTAAACAAATTAATATAGTTCTTAAATTTAAAGAATCTTTAAAATTAATTTTTGAATTTTTGTTATAAGAAAAAATCAATATAATTTTTAGGTTTAAAGGACTTTTAAAATCAATTTCTGTTTTTGTTTCAAAACTCTTATATTTAAAATATTATATTTTTATATAATGTTTTATAAATAATCTTATATTTATCATTTAAAGGATAATATTTATTAGTAAATCTTGACATTGTCAACAGAGTAATTGACCAGTTATAATAAAGTCACGTGGATGACGCAGTATGATGATCTCTTAGTTCAAAATTCTGAAAATACTGAGAATTTTGCGAATTCTGAAAATACGAAAGATCTACATAATTCTAAAGATCTTTTAAATACTGATGATAATCCTAATTTTACGAATTAAATGAAGTCTAAGAATATTTAGTATTATACTTATTTTTAATATTTTAAATTTTATTGATATTTTATTATATTTTATATTCTTATTATTTTACGTATTTTTATTATTTTCAATATATTTATTTTACTTATATTTTATTTACTAAATTAGTTAGTTTATAGCATAGTAATTAGTTAGCCGTAACAAAAGAAATTTTGTATAAATAGATAAACTTTTTGCTTATGTTGTAAATTAACTCTCTTGCGAATATGAGTTTTAATATTAATAAAGGAATCATTTAAAACTTATATCTTTCTGTCTCTTTGTGTCTTCATATAGTCTGACGTGATTCCTACACATTATTTGTAATTGAGTTCATCATCTGAATTCTTTAATTAAATTGTTTATAATCTCGTCTTTCAAGTCTTCATACTTGATATATTTGTTTAAGTCCAACACATAAATTTGGTAAAGTTAAAAGTTAGGCAGATCCTAACATCTTAACCGCAATAGGCCGCAGTTAGAAATTTTGAGTAGAGACTTGATAACGTGACCACCTTAAGTTAAAGAATTCCACAGTGACAATATTAATTTAAATATTTAATATTATATATTTATAAAAATATTATTTAAAATTAAAATTATAATTAAATTTAAATAAAAATTTTTATTATTTAAAGATAGATTTTAATAGATATATTAATTTTAATGTAATAAAATTTTAAATGAACATTTTATAAAAAATATTTTTTTTTTTAGAAAATTTTTTCTTTATATTATAAGGTATTTAAATAGTTAAATTTAATAATTTAAAAATTTAATATATTTAATAAAAATATCAATAAGATTACTATAAAGTTTAATTATAGGTCTTATATATATTCTTTATATTATTTATATTCAATTTTTATTTTAATAATTATTTTTTATATTGATAGAATTTACTATATTTAAAATCTTAATAAAACAGGTTATTTATTTTAAAATTAAGATTATTAATTACGACCTGATTAATGGTCTGTTTTAACAACTTTTTAAAACATTATTGATTTTTGATTACTAATTATCAAAGTAGAAACATAAGATGACTCAGACTGCTACGTGATGATGAGATATAGTAGTATTTCATTAAGATAATGTGCCAAATTAACAATATTGCATAATCTCGCATTTTGATTCAAACTTTTTTTTTTTTGAAAAAAAAAATCGTTGGATTGATTAATTTTCATAAAATGCAAAGAAATAATGCATGTTACTGGTAAAAGATTAGTTCTAACCTCGGCTTTCGGATAAAAGAATTCCACATGTATTATTCCTCGCAACTATTTAAAGAACAACGACTAATGTACCATGCAATAAGGCAACGTTGTTCACAACAATGAAAACTATCAATATGAGGATTTTTGCATTTTTGTTTCGAGAGACTCCAATATCAAATTTAAGAAGTGTTCGAGAAAATATGTATTTTATGAAACGTTTTTACAGTTCCATAAGCGCAACTAAGTCAGGTAGGATTTATTTTTATTTGTAAATATATAAGGCTACCATGGATATTGGCTACTTGTGAGAAATCCACGGCGACTCATTAAGAAATCGTTTTATAAAAATATGATCATTAATTTTTTATATATTTTAAATCGGTTAGGTCGAACGAAAGTTACAATAAATACCATAGAAAAATTGTACAAGGACAAAGAGGCAATCACTATGCTCACCGCTTATGATTATCCTTCAGGATTATTTGTCGAAAAAGCAGGAATTGATATTTGTCTTGTAGGCGATTCATTGGGAATGGTAGCATTAGGTTATCAAAATACTTCACGGAATACCATGGAGGTATTTTAAGATTCCTTTTCTCCGTACTCAATTTTGAATTTAATTTGCTTTATTTATAATTTATAATTTTATTTATTTTTTTTTTTTACAAAAAGGAAATGCTTCATCATTGTCGAGCCGTTGCCAGAGGTGCAAAATCACCTTTCTTGGTCGGTGATATGCCATTTGGAAGTTACGAGACGAGTCCTACGGATGCATTGAAAAATGCTATTCGCTTTATTAAAGAAGGAGATATGGAGGTACTATCTAAAGATATGACGAATTGAACTTGTAAAGCATTTACTTACGAATATACTATTATTGATTAGAGTGTCAAGTTAGAAGGTGGATCAGAAATGTTGGAAACAATTCGAAAAATCACACGTGTAGGAATTCCTGTAATCGGTCACGTTGGTTTGACTCCACAACGACAAGCTTCTTTGGGTGGATTTCGGGTTCAAGGGAAGACCGTTGAAAATGTAAAATACTTTTTAAAAATATATCACGATCGTACCCCGTATGCTCTTACAAACCTTTTTAAATTTTTTTTTTAATTATAACCTAGGCCAAAAAACTTATAGATGATGCGAAAGCCCTTCAGGAAGCTGGCTGTTTTGCTATAGTGATTGAAGCGGTATCTGAACCTGTTGCAAATTATGTGACGAAAAGGTTAAGTATACCAACCATAGGTATTGGTGCGGGTGCTGGCACGAGCGGTCAGGTTCTAGTTCAACAAGACATGTTAGGTTGCTTTGATCGTTTTGTCCCTCGGTGAGTTATAAAGAAAGACTGCACATTTTGCATGATTAATAGTTATACTAATGAATTATAAAATTATCTCATTAGGTTTTGCAAACAATATGCCAATCTTGATAAAGTTATAATTGATGCCATCAAAACCTATAATAAAGAAGTAAAAACCGGAATATTTCCTACCGCAGAACATAGTTATCCAATGGCAAAAGGAGAATACGAAAAATTTTTACAATTTATCAATGAGATCGAAAAGAATTCCGATAAATAAAATTATAGAAATTATTTCCTCATTAACAAATTTATTAATTTATTTATTTAAATATATAAAATAAAATAAAATAAAATTTTCATTTCAACAATGATTAGTTTTTCCAAGTCCAAAATTTGACTTTGTGAAGTAAATTTTTTAATGTTTGTTATTTTACCCCAAACATCCCTCTTAAATAACCAATTTGTTCATTATCAGTTGGTGAAGCTACATTAGTCGTCTAGTTCCTGTACTTTCTCCCATTCACCTTTCAAATTTTCTTGCCATAATGTCACTTTATTGTCACCAGAGGCCACAGCCAAGATTGTACCTGACGTAGACCAACTAACTGACCAAACTACATCAAGGAATTTGTCAGTTTTAAGTAGTATTTTGACCCATGGAGAAGTTGGGCTATTCTTTTTCCAGACAATAACAGTCTTGTCCTGTTAATAACAAAATTTATTAACTTTCTTAGTTTTTAAAAAAAAAAAAGAGAAGTCAATAAATCTTTTCGTACCTGAGAACAACTGGCCAAGTAATTTTGCGGAAGTCCGAAATTTGGAGCCCATGATACGTCACGTACCCAATCTGTGTGACCTTCCAGAATCTCCTCCTCCTTCCATCCATCTTCGCTATTAAAAGTTGTAGAGTTCATTACCTTCTGATTGTATGTAGATTAATATATGACAAATTTACATATGTAAGTAATTACCCGTAAGCCCAAATTTTTACTAGATTATCACATCCGCATGAAGCGAATCTTTTAGAAACGTTAACGTTTGGTGCACCTCCAGTAACTTGAACAAGGGCACCTGGTATTGTAGCTGGTGCCCAAGATACACTGTTTGCCCCAATCGTATGTGCATCAAGAACCGTTGCATCCCACGATCCATCATCTATAAAATATCAAAAATCAGAAAAATATTAAAGTGTAGTTCTGAACAAAAAGCAATTAAATACCTTTAAAAGAAAGAACGGATACTTTTCCGTCTGAAGAAGCACAAGCTAAAATTGGACCAAGCTCATGTGGTCCCCATGCCACAGAATTTACTATAAAATAATAAAAAAAGTGTGAATAAAATAATTTTAAGAAAATTATTAAAGTTCCAAATCTTTTTTCTTTTTTACATTTGATGATATACCAGATGCTGTGTGCAGTGAATGTTCTTTGATTTTTTTCCATGAGCCAGCACCATGATCCTTCCAGATAAAAACTTTACCGTCATAAGAGCATGATGCTAATATAACACCAAATTTTGGATGAGCCCAATCTACACGCCACACAGGACCTTCATGTCTAAAATTAAGTAATCCGTGAAATTAAAATCGCGAATTGATCCTATCAATTCAATGAAGAATTGAAAAATTGATGACTCACCCTTTCAACGTTTCAACCTCTCGTCGCTCTTCACCATCAAGATCAAATATCTTAATGGTACGATCCGAGGAACAAGTAGCTAATTTTAATCCATAATAGTCGAGTTGTGCATCATGCTAAAGTTTTTTATTTTTTTGTTCAAAAGGTAGAGAATTGTCAATTAAGTGTAAGATCTTTGTAAAAACTATTTAACAAAGATTTAATACTCGCCACCATATCCTCATGGTGTGTTTCAAGGCCTTGATGAAGGTAATTTTTCGACTTTTCAAGAGACATTATTATATATATTTATATATGTTTATATATGAAAGGTTCTAAATTGCGACTGAATTAACAAAGATCTTTTGTTAAAAGAACTTCGGTAGCTTAAAAAAAAATTTTCCACCAAAAAAAGGATTCTCGTCAAAATTTACACGATACGAGCATTGATTGGCTGAAAAAACTTTACTACCTTCCCATTTTAAGAAATCCTGTCATAAATCAAACAAATCCTTAATTTTTCCGTGAATCATTTAATATAACTCGGTTTTGCTTAACATACAAATGTCGGACGAAATTGGACCGCAAATTCCAATACATTTACTTTCTAAAGTTGGCATTATTAATAATGAAGAAGATAATGCATCACCAGAAATTAGGCCACCATTAGGTAGTGACTTGACTGAGTTTCGGCATAATAAAACTTTAGATCAAGATTCTGAAGCTACTGAGAATGCTACAATTGGTCCAAGGATCCCTCAAGAAAGAGTACAAATCGGTCCACAAATACCTTCTTCGTCAATAGGAAAACACAAAATGAAAGGTGAAGATAACGATCGTAAGTTACGGAATTCAATGCCTGTTAATTCAGAAGGAACTTCTAGTCACAAAAAACGTGTTATTGGTCCTGCTATGATGCCTCCTCCTGAATATAGCAATTACCAAGAATATGAAGAAGAGGAAGAAATAGTAGGGCCAGTATTGCCAAAGGATTTTAAAGAGGGAAATAATGATGATGGTTTATTAAGAACAATCCAAGAGTTCGAAGAACGAGCAGAAAGAATGCGTAAAACTCTTGAAGTAAGTTTTTGAGTTCTATATTTATTTATATTAATAAATACTAATTCTTTTAATTTATAGTCAAACGATCAAGATAAGCCATTACAACGTGGAGAATGGATGCTCGTACCACCAGAAGCAAAATTTCTGGGAGGTCAGTTCACACATATATATATATACATATCTTTTCTCACTTTGCTCTTTTCACAATCATTAACTTTAATTGTTTGTAGAAACCCCAACCAATATGCGATCACGTCAATTCAAAAAGAGAGCACATAATCCAAACGATAATGATAATTCGCTTTGGACAGAGACACCTGCTGAAAGAGAAGAAAGACTGAAAAAACAGGTATAGTCATTTTGATATATTTTCATTTACTTATAATAACCCTTTTGTTTTTATTTAGGCATCATCTACTCAAAAAAGAAAACTTGTCAAAGACAACGAGGACGACGAACCAATAAAATATTCCCGCGTTGATTTAGAAACATCAGAAAAAGTTAATGAATATAACGTATGTATTGAATTCCAACTTTCTTTATATCCTTATGACCTTACTAACCCTTTTTTTTTTATCAGGCTTTATACCGGTCAAAGACTCTTGTAGAAACACATGCAGAAAGCTATGTTAAATCACGTAAATGGAAAGAGGATGATGCCAGTAAACGACCTTTTGATCGTGAAAAAGACGTATTGGGCACTCGTCGTATGGACTTGCGCAAACGCCAAGAGTTCTTGGACAATGCGAAAGGGTTGAGTTCGAAATTTGGGCACGGCAAACATGGATCATTTTTGTAGTCTATTCATTATCTTGATATTTAATATTAGAAATCATTTTAGGATATATTACAATGTTATATACTTTCAATTATTGAGGATATTTAGAATGATGACATTGTGAATAATTTATTTTCAAAATAAAAACATTTAATCTTTTCACTCTTTCGAATTATATTTATTCGAGAATAGAAAAGTAGAAGTAAAAGGAATGTTAACCAATTGCGTCTTCATCACTAGAATCTTCCAAAAATCCAAAATAACCACCATGAAATCCTTTAAATTTCTCTTCATCATCATAACTTTTAAATTCCACATCTTTTCCCTTCGTATTCTTTTTATATTCATTTTTCACTTGTAAATCGACATCATCTCTTTTTGAAATCAAGTATTTTAAGCTTGTAAAAAATCCAGGTGGTTTAAAAGAAAGTAAAATACGCCCATCATTAATTAAACGAAGTATAGCATTAGCGGCTCGATAAACATCTGGTCGGGATGCCTTTGTATAATATCCTCGTTTAATCGCGAATGCTGTTAAAATAAAAAGAGATTATTATATCGTTCCAGTTTAGATGAAATCCTGAAATTAGTCTCTAAATGTCATTTTCTTAACCTTCGCATATATACCAAGCTGACCATTCGTTATTTTGTAATTGCTCTGGAGGATCAAGTTTAAGTAATGATTCTAGAGGAATTCTCTCGGCCTATAACAATTTAGGTTAGCTTAATATCAAATATAAAAAAAAATTCATAATATACAGTATATATCATACCATATATTGAATGGTACTATAGGGTTCCCGAACTTGGGAAATCGGATACATTCCCGATAATATCTGCAAAGTTTAATATGTTAAGTTTTTACATGTGGAAATTTAAACAAGTAATTTTGGTAATTCAAAAGTGGCGGAACCTGTATTTGTTTGGGTAAAAGACTTGGAAAAACCAATCCTGGAGAATCACAAATACGAACACTCTTTGATAAATGAATTGTTTGAAAATGCTTCGTGTGCCCTAAAATAAAGTAGTCGTGCATATTTTGAATTTGTAAAATAATAAATCAAGTTAATATGAATGTAACCTACCTGGCGTTTTAGAAACACTAACAACTGTTCTACCAAGTATACTATTTATTAGGCTACTCTTCCCAACATTAGGATGTCCTATAATCAATTACAAGTTATTCTCGATTATATATAAATTGCATTCGAAAGATTTCTAGCGTTACGCACCCACAAGTCCTATTGTAATTAACTCGTTATGAGAATATACTTTTGTATCTTGAATATCTACTGTTCTTAACAAATCTTCTTTTTATAATAAATAATAAATAAATGAAATCAAAACTAAATGTTAAAAAAAAAAAAAAATATTATAAATTTCAATTAAGCAAATATACCAATACGTTTAATATGTTTTTCCTCTTCTAAAACCAGTGATTCAATATCACATGTTTCTTCTCGACTTTCATCATTATCGTCCATTTCATCCTCTTCTTTGATATCACTTATATCGTCAAATACTGTTGCGCTTCGATTATACTGTTCCACCAATTCCATCCAACTTACATCTACGCCTTCTTTGACCAATTTCATATTTTCGCATGCAATTAGCAATTCTTTAATTCCTGAAGCAAGATAACGTCTTGTCTTTGGACGTTTCGTTCGTTCCTTTAAAAATGCTAATTTTTCCAAAATAAACATTCGGTTTAATAAGATTGACATACATAAAATATATTACACAATTGTTGTCATGTATAAACCTGTAGAAGTGTCATCGACAAATTTATTATCTCTAGGATAACAACTAAATTTAACAACACCAAGTTCAGGAAATTGTTCTTCAAAATATTTAGTCCATGCATACACTGTATTTTCCGCTACCAAATCCACCTGCGAAAATCAAAAATATTTTAATAATTACGTAAACATTAAACAAAAAAGTATATATACAGATAATACTTTAAACCTTATTAAATACAAGCAGCATCTTTCGCTTAATGTCTTTAACAACATAATTATATAGTGAAGGTGGAAAATGTAACAGGGGATGTCTAATATCAACCACAATCAATATTATGTCTGAAATTTCAAGAACTCGCCATCTAAGAAAGAATATTTTATTAATTAAGTGAATGCACAACATACAAAGACAAAGAATGTGGACCATGTATGTTACAATTGACGCCAGACCTGTGATATTATTAAAAAGACTCTAGATTAGACTACTTTCGAAATTGCCATGAACTAAAAAAAAAAATTGTATTTACATCAAGATTATGCTCAAAAAAACTTAATTCCCCTTTTGGATATCTATCATAGACATCATCTAACCATTGTTGAAAATAATGTTCTTCATTAGCTTCCAATTCTTCCTTTGTCATTTCATAATTCCAAGACGGCCGTTTTGGAAAATCAATGATGGATTTGTAAATATCATTAACGGAAACCTCTAATACAGTCTTTAAAATAGTACATGTGAGGTTTTTTAACTTCATTTCTTTAAACAAATACATTGCCACAAAAATAACTGACGCGTACTGAAGGTAAGCGAGCGAAAGTGTTCATACTCGCTTTACGTTGAGCCTTGATCTCTTTTGATGATAATTTTTCGAAAACTGAATGTAATCTATTGAAATTGAAATGTAATCGTCAAGATTTATCAATATCTTTAAACGAGCAAAAATGTCAAAATTCAAAAATTCAACCTTTTACTTGGGTTATTCAGCTTTCGAGTAGAAGAAGCAGCGATTCGATTATTATCATATAATTGTTCTCTTTTTGATGGACCTTTAACTTGCTTATTTTCTTCGATATGTTTATCTATATCCTCGAATTCTTCATTATCTGAAACTTTAAAAGAAATAATTAGATATAGAAGTTTTGATAATATTAGTAAAAATTTGCATAGTAAAACACACCCTCTTTTGTCTTAGAAGCATTTTTCGCTCGTTTTTCAAGTAGCTGCTTTTTCTTTTGTTTTCCACTAAAAGGTTTTTTACGATGACCATTACCCATTTCTTTATGATCATAATTGATATTTTTTTTTTTTTGATTTTTTTTGGATTGGTTTTCTACAGGAATATTATTAATGCTAATTATTATATTCCAATTTTCATATATAATTTTAAATTTGAATTATTAATTAAATATGAAAAAATAGCACATAATTTAGTTGAAAATAAATTAATATAATTAATATCTAAGATATATTATAAAACTTTAAAATAAATATATATTTCTTAATATATATTATGTAATAAATTCTTTTCTTTTTAATTCTTCGATTTTTTTTAAACTGTATTAAATTTGTAAGTATATTAATATAAATATTAATCTTTTTTAAAATTAATATAAGATTTTTTTCTAAATAGCATAAATTTTAATAAATAATTTTATATACTACTGTTTTAATAATTAATTTCCACTTTTAACTATTTATTGAATTATTTTGTAATTGTGAGTTGCTGAAAAAATGAATAAAAGTTTTAGAAATTAAGATTAAGTAATATTAATAAATTAATCTAATAATTAAAATTTTAAAAAGCTAATAATAAATTTTTTATATTTTAAGTATTTAAAATTTTCTGTTGATTTTTTATTTATTAATAAAATTTATATTAATTGGATTATTTAATTTTTTTTTTAGTATATTATTATATTAAAAGTTTAAAGTAAAGTATTTTAATTTTATTTATAAATATATAAAAGAATTATTAAGAAATTATTAAAAATATATAAAAATTATTAATTTTTTAATGATTAATTTTTATTTAATTTTATAAAAAATTATAATTTATTATAATTATATGAAACTTTTATAATAGAAAATAAGAGAATTAATGGTAAAATAAAAAATAAATTAATGCTAAATTTAAACATAATTTAAAAATCATATTTAATATATAAAGTAAAATTAATTTTTCTAATAGTTTTCTTTCTTTTTATATATTTATTAATAAATTAGAATACATAAATATTTAATTTATTATAAATACTTTACTTTTTTTACAATTTTATTTAAATTGATTAATTATTATAATAAAAAAAAAAATCAAATTTCATAACTAAAGTAATCTAATATTTTTAATAATCAAATGCTTAAATAAAGATTAAAATCTTTTTTATATAAATGATAATATGGGGGCTAAGCTATTAAAATCACCTTACGGGATAAGAAATTGATTTTGAGTAAATAATGATTAAAAAAATGC